CTCTGGAGCAGAGATCTGCAGAGAAGAACAGGACAACAGGGAGGATGGCTTCACTTCTGTTGCTTGCCTACTTCCTTGGACTAAATCTGAATTTCAACCTGTGGATATGTATATTTTTATTGTTCCATGCAGCTTTTTCTGTGGATGGGAAAACTCACTAAAACATGTACCAGCTTAAAGTTTGTAATGGGTTGAAGCCATCTTAGTTACAACACAAATACAGCAAACTGCACTCTTCAAACCTTAAACATTCACAATCTTTCTGTACATTTATGCATTAAATACACAAATAATTATGAAGCGTGAGATGCATGAAATTAGAAAAATTAATGAGATGCTAGGAAGGCAAATCCATGAGGGAAATTACGAGCTTATATTTGGTGTGTGTGTATGCATTTCTCCTTTATGAAAATGGTAGCTCTTCAAGTTTTTATTTATTTTGAGTTCAGTTGGAACTCAGTATATTGAAAGACTTAAAAAATATTCTTAATACCTGTTATATTGAAAGCATCCCCCAAGCACTAGTAGCAACACCTTTGCTTACCACTACAAAGCCATATGTGCCCCAGAACCCAAATTCCACATTTAAAAAAAGAGGAATTTCCTATAAGGGAGGTGTTTGCTTCATTTTCTGTGTCAAGAAAAAAGTAGGCTACCAGTGTTCTTCAAAGTTCTCACCTCCTACCAGTTCCCCACCATGTACTCCATCTTCAGCCATGCTGAAGGTCTAACAGTTTTTAAGAACACGCCCAGTACAACATGGCTTTCGTTTGCAGTTCCTTTGCTTGGAATGAATGCTCTTCCCCCAGACACTGCTTGGCATGGCTCTTGTTCTTGTTTTATGTCTTCTCTCAAAAGCCACCTTCACAGAGTGGCTCATTCTGTCTACTGTCTATGCAATAACAGCCCGTTTTCCTCCCTCTGATCCCCTTCCTCACATCAGGTTGAAATTATATCAGGTGTCATTATTATCTCACATAAAGTATTTTTATTTGCTGTCTGTTTCACCTGCCCTCCACTATCATGGAAGTTCTGTGGATAAAGGACTTTACTTTGTGTCTCTGCTGCATTTCATTACCTATCACTAGGTAGTCTTCCAACAATTACTTGTTGAGTGTGTAATATTGTAGTTAAGCATGGGGTTTGGGAGCAAAATTGCCTACAATGCTTACTAGTCTTGTGACCTCTGTCTCTTACTTAAATAATGGGAATAATGGTGTCTGCCTTAGAGTTGTTCTGAGGATCACATGAGTTAATATGTATAAAGCATGTACGTAGGAGGGACACCTGGGTGGCTCAGTGGTTGAGTGTGGCAGCTGCTTTGGCTCAGGGAGTGATCCCTGGATCCTGGGATCGAGTCCTGCATCGGGTTCCCTGCAGGGAGCCTGCTTCTCCCTCTGCCTGTGTCTCTGCCTCTTCCACTGTTTCTCTCATGAATACATAAATAAAAGCTCTAAAAAAAAGTAAAGCATATAGGAGAATGTCTTCAATATAGCAGTTTCCGTTTAAATGTCTATTAGTATTCAATCGGTTTTAACCATACATAAAATAAGTTATTTATTTATTTATTAGAAAGAGAGCGTGTGTGAGAGAGCAGGGAGGGGCAGAGGGAGAGGGAGGAAGAATCCAAAGCACACTCTACAGTGAATACAAAGCCCAGGGTGGGGCTCAATCCCACAACCACCAGATGATGACCTGAGCCAAGATCTAGAGTCAGACACTTAACCAACTGAGCCATCTGGGCACCACCACCCCCATAAAATAGGTATTTCTCTTATTTGCTATAATAATTGAACTCATGGTCAGTTTGTGGTCGTTATCACATTATCAACAATGGGATGATTAAGTTACATTACATTTTGTTCACACCTGGATCAGGGTCATGGAAAGGGGAAATGGAGTGTAAAAGAAGTTATAAAGAAGGATTTGCTGACTGACTATTCGGGAACAGTGATGAACAAAAGAGCAGAAAGTTTAGATGTTAAGAACCATCAAATGACAGGACCATTAACAGAGAAAGTAAGAGTGAGGACAGAGTCAACAAAGGAGAATCATAAACTAATTTTAATTCCTTAGGAGCAAAGTCGAAGTCCCCAAAACCAATAGGTCCCCTCTGTGAGTAACCTGAAGGAGCCTTCAACGTGACCTTTCCTGTGAACTCAGGCTCCAGATCATGTTCTGCATCAATATCGTTCTTCATGAGGAAGGTGATATCTTAGGAGCCTAGATCCTCATCCTAGTTGACATCACTCCACTTAACAAAGCTGTCCACACCCTCAGCTTTCTTCATTTCTCAGGTAGAAGACGGCAGACGAGCATTCTCTCAGCCATGGTTGGCTGAAGGCATATGGCTCCTGAGCTTGGCCCAGCACATCCCGATCCCCCCAATCTTCCTGCCTGCAGCCTCCTCCAACAATTACTGCCACTCCTGGAGAATCCACCAACAACCAAGAATAGTGCCTCCATCTCTGTTTTCAAATCACCTCATGGTATTTCCACTGCATTTGTGTGCACAACAGAATACAGTAGGCTCCAGGTTGGTACCACCAGCAAAGCAGATCTCCTCCTTGGTTTTATAGCTAGCAGGACTGGAAAGTACTCTCTTACTATCCAAAACACCCTGGCCCTTATTCCCCTAGAGGAATAAGCCTGTATTCCAGGGCTTCAGCCAGACTTCCACAGTTAACAGTTCTAGGTGACACTTCTCTTGTGGGATGAATTAGTGACACACTTTGCTCTGCTCCTTGCCTGGGAGTTTAAGTTACATTAGATTACCCAGCCTGGAGGTCTACCATAGGGATGACACAGAGATTTTCTGACAATCTTCTGAACCAATATGCAGAATTTCCCCAAATCCTGTTGAGCTGGTATTTCTGATAACATAGTCTTTTACCCTCAGGGCTCTCTCTGATCCCATTTATGCCAATTTTGGGGTGGAGGAGAGGATGCATATGTGTAGGTATCCCAGGTCTGTCTCCTTCAAGTATATACCTTGTGCCTCACACAAACATACGGTCACTACTCAACTACAGGACCTTGTCAGAAGTTGAGCTAGGATGTGTTAGGGTATCGTGTTCAGGAACCCAGAATTTCCTGAAAATCACTCTATTCAATAGTTATCCTTCCCTAAGAGATTCCCTGGGGATCACTACAATTCAGCAGCAGAGAAACCCAAAGCACCACTTTGTGGTTAATGGGGCTCCTCACTCACAGGATAGAGGACTCTGATGAGATCTTCTGAAATCTCATCCCTCCTGCCTTCCTTCCTATCTGCATCTTAGGCTCTTGCCACTCTTAGAAAGGCAATAACCTGAGGGAAAGAGAGAGCTGTCCATGACTATATTGCCATGATATTGATAATCCACTTACATCCTCAGTGACATCAGCACTTCGGAAATGTCAGTTCCTGAAAATCTGTGGCTTACTAGAAAACTGGTGTCTCTAAGATGTTTACTGCAAAGTCAAAGTTTATGTCATGTGTTCATTCAACAAACAATTTTGGTCACCCACTATATGTCCAGCTACAATCTAGGCACTGAGATACACATGTGATCAAGACAGATAATATACATGATGTCACAGTGCCTACATTGCAGGTGAAAAGGACACTAACCACATAAAAGCAAATGAGATAATTTCAGCCAAATTCAGTATTCAACATAAATAACTAAAAAACATTGGAATAGAATGTAACTGAGGTCGAGTGGCCACTTGGGCTACACTGACCACAAAGGGCCTCTCCATGAGGATGATGTCTGAGCTGGGAGCTGAAGGTTGCCCTGAAATCATCTTTGGAGGATCAAGGTGAATGAAGAATGGCCCCAGGTGGAGGGAAGAGTTGAAATAATGGCCTTGTGCTGAGAAGAAGCTTGGCACAAGTAAAGGACAGAAAGAAGCTTAGCATCATGGAAGCGCAATACACAGGCGGGGGGGGGGGGGGTGGACATGGGCCTGAGAGTGAGCCTGAGGCATCTTAGGAGCTCAGGAATCATTGTGACCAAAAAATTAGAGGAGTGGGGAGAAGTCCACCTAAATGGGAAACATCCGAATTCTATTTGCATCGTACACTTGTGCTAGAACCTGAGACGTCCTTACGTGAGCCTCTTCATTTTGATAAAAGTCACCGCCTTTGACCTTGTGCCATGTGAGGGGGACCTCGAACTTCATCCCAACAGCCCTGTAAAGTTCTGCCATCCTCCCTGGACTCTTCTATATGAGCTGTCTGAACATGTCATGCCGAAAGTGCTGGACTCTTGGTGGTGGAAGGCCTGACCCCAATACCTTGTTCATGGGTAGGATTATAGCCTGGGTAAAGGGTCATGGAACCCTTTCTCTTAATTTTAAAATGCCCAATATAAAGATTGACAAGTTTCCACTAAGAAATCTGCACAATCTGCCCAATGATCCCACCCAGGGGAAGGTGTCTGCAGGACATCTGCATGAATGCTCCACCTTAACAAGCTTCCAGCTCTCTGACAGGCTCAATCTGTCTCAAAGTTAAGTAGATAATTTCAAAATCCATATTTTAAAAAGTAAAGGGAAGACTATAAATAATAATGCTAGGAATAATAATAATAAAGTAAACTCATAAATAAGAGTAAACGCCAAGCATCTGATTGCTCTTTCCATTCTCTGCCTTGGGTCTGCCCATGCTCCATCCCCACGTCCTCTTCTTAACTACTCAAAGTAGGACTTTCTTTCCTGAGTTCATGCCACATGAAGATGAATGGCCACACACAATCTCAAGAAGTGGGCACGTCCCGTGTTCACTCTGATGGGAAATCTCTCCTGTATCATTATTTTTTTGGAATTTCTCTGAAGACGCACAGATACCCTAGTTACTGTGAAGTCCGGAGCACCCACCTGCCTCCCTCACCTCTGGTGAGAGACACAGGGACACAGAAACAGTTTTAATAAGAACACAGTCAGATGATTTATCAATGTCAAAGGAGAATGGATTAAGAAATCATCACTCAATTTGACAAAAAAAAATATTTCAGTCAGCATTTACTGAGAAACATCTTCCTCTGAACCAGCTACATAATTTGTGGAGCAAATACAAAATTCAGGAAAACACAGTATCTCCCAGTGTTAGTGAGGATTTGGAGACAGTGACCTGCAGAGATCACATGCCCATGAAGCTGGCCCTGAATCCAGGTTAGGCTTTTGGTCATAGGTGCAAATACAAACACCGACATCCGGCTTCAAGCAACAGAGAAAAAACAGAAAAGCAAAAATCTAAATAACAACTGTTCAGAGTAGGAAGAGATGAGGGTATTTAGAATGATCCATCCAATTTTGGAAGAACAGAAGAGCTTTCAACCAGGCAATCCAGGGAAGCTTCCATGAGAAAGAAGCATATGAATTAGAGATTGAAAGATCAATAGCAATAAATTTGTGGCCAGTGCAGAAAAGATATTACTAGAAAAAGGGGGGGTGGAAATAAAACAAGTGTCCAAAGGGGTGAAGATTACTGTCACAATAGGGTGTTTTATCGAAATTATGCTTTGTTTCTAGGTATGAACCATGTTTAAGAAGAGGCAGAAAAGGATTTCACGTGTTACGTAAAACTAACGTCGCCAGAGTCGATTTAGGCTTGCTTTCAATTTCTCTAAAAATCTATTTTTGACCCATGATTCCTGTGGCGTGTAGAGCTGGTGTCCAGACGTCCTGGGCTTGTGGATGTTGGTCCCCGTGGGTGAGTCAGGACTGGGTGCAGGGGCCTTCCGATTTGAGCTGTGGACGAAGAAGATGATTTTTATCTCAGTGAAGGGACATCAGAGAGAATGCGGGGAGGTGGAGGGAAGAAGAACAAGCTGATAAAGAATTGAAGAAACAGAACAAGAAGAGGCTCACCTGCGCTTTTTACAGCAGGCGTGCACCACGGGCAGCACGAGCAGGGTGACCACGGCTGCCAGGCCGCTGAGGGTCAGCAGGGCTGAGTTTCCACCTCCTTGGGCACAAAACCAGGATGTCAGCGAACAGGGCTCTGTCACCATCAGTGCTTCTCCTTCCACAGACAGGCCTTCCCAGATTCTCCCTCTGCATGTTCAAGACTTCACCGCAGTTCTTCCTGAGTCTGTGTCCCCAACGCCCTCCCCTCCCCATCTCTTTCCCAAATCACCAAACACCTTTTCTCTTTAGTACTTGAATCCCCTCATCCTATTTCTGGAAGTTTAGCCCTGGTCATTCTCTGCCCTTCTTCGCTTGGATTGATCCACCTCTGTCCTCCTCTCCCCACACCTGCCTCGCACCCCAGGACTCAGGGAAGGGGCCCCAGTCTTTCCTCACCCCAGTGGAGGACCATGTCCTGGCCCCCTAGACTGCTGTGCTTCACCCGGCAGGACAGGCCAGCCACCTCCCGGGCTGCCACGTCCAGGGTCGCTCGGAGATACCACGTGCCATCAGCATGGGGCAGGACGTCGCCTCGCCGGGTGCCCCGCTGCTCCTGCTCGCCCCGCATCCACGTCACTCGCACAGGCTTGGGGTGGAAGCCGGAGACGTGGCACACCAGCCGCAGCCGGCCAGGCCCGGGGCTGGGATCAGCAGACAGCCAGGCCTCGGGTCGCACTGCGGGGGGAGTACACATGGTGCTTAGGGGCCCCTGGGACCATGCTAAGGGACTGGGTGCTCTTAGCAGTTGGAGTTCACTTCCTTCTCTTGTCTAAGAAACAACCCTAACCCCGCACATCCGACTCTTGGCCTCTCGGTGTATGTTTCAAAGGGACGGTCGGGAGTGGACCATGCAGGTCAAAGCCCTGGGGATGCTCACCTTGTCGCCCCAGCTCTGCTTTTCCTGCTTCAAGGATCCCCGCCAGGAACTGAGGGCAGATATGGCCGATGAGGCTCTTCACGATTTCCTTAATATCTTGGTACCTGTTGAGCATCTCACAGACCTTCCGAGCCCGACTCCCCGCTCCTGGAGATGGGTACCAGGAGTTTCCTTGGAAACTCAGAAAATCTGAGCCTTGATACGCTCCATTCAAGAAGCTTTCCGAGGCCTTCCCAGCATGCAGTCTACAGCCGGCTGACATCTGGAGCTCGAAGGGGTCTGAGGGCAGACCAGGAGGACAGAAGCCGTGTGGAAACAATTAAAGGGAGGGAAGGTCTAGGAATAAAGGGAGTCAAGGGAAGGGAGATTTGCTCTGGAATCACATAGCATGCTGGAGCTGGGTGGGGAAGGGGAGGAAATTTGTGGAAAGAAAATGGGATGATGAGAAGGTATTTAGGAATAATGAGGAATAATTGATGCAGAGAAGCTAGATAGGAAGGTGTTGGAAAGCTGGGGGCCCGGCTAGAAGGGCTCACTTGGGAATGGTGAGATACAGGCTGGGCCTGGTAGGAGAAGGGACGGTCGGGTCCTGGCTGGGAAAGGCCATGTCGGGGGTCCGGGGGGTGAGCAGATCATGAGGAGACAACCATTGCAAGGAGCCAGAGCACAAAGGTGAGTACAGCGGTATGAAGAGGTGGGTACTTGCAGGCCCCTCTGTGTATGTGCTGGGTGGGTGGCTGGGGTGGGGATGGTGGCGAATCGTGAAGCAGAAGAGAGCATGAGCCAAAAGGGGGCAGGGGACACATCAGGAAGGCTGGCTAAAGTCCAAGCCCCTTAGGAAGAGGGCTGGAGCCTCCTGCCAAACATCGGCGTGGAACAACGAACTCACATTCAAACTGAAAATAACGTGCAAAGGCCTGCACTTCGATGGTGAAACCGTGGAAATACAGTGTGAACAGGCTCTGCAGATTCTTTAGCTCCACTGCGCTGAAGTTCCCCCGGGACCAGGGCCACAGGAAGCGGATGGTGTACCGGACATTGTCCCAGCCATGCGTCTGCAGCTCGCCCAGCCAGCCCGCGCCCTGCGTGTACGCCCAGCTGAGATTGGCAAAGGAGGACGTCTGCAGCACGCGGAAGGAGGGGGGCTCTTCTGTGGCTGGATGAGGGGGTCCTGCACCCTGGGATGCTGAGAGGCCAGGCCATGCGGAGACAGGCCCCAAGGATGGGTGAGGGGGGGTGCACACAGGAGCGGAACGCCGGGGCCGGTCCCACAGCCAGAACACATTCCCACAGCCCACCCCTCTCCCTGGGCCAGCCTCATCCCCTACAAAACCAGCAAGAGGAAAGGAGACGGGGCAAGGTACTTTGCATGGAGCCAGCCTGACCCTCGGACTCCAAGGGCATCCTGTGGGAGCAGTACTTCCTCCCGCGGGTCCTCCCAGCACATCACCCTGATGCACCCAGCCTCAGGAATCCTCCCCAGGGCCCTTCCTACCCCCTGTGCTTGCCCCGCACTGGACAAGTCCCCCGAAGAGCAGGAGCAGCAGGAGCGGCATTGCAGCTCAGTTGCTCGCAGGATGCCCCGAACAGGCCTCAGATGCCACTGCGCTCCAAACTCTCCAGCGCGGTCTGACTTCCCCTGCCACAGACAGGCAAACCTCACCCTCAGCCCACTTCCCTGTCAGAGAAACCCTCCTGCCTCCCCAGGGCAGGCCCACAGGGCTCTCATTTCCCCTACCTCTCCGCCACTCCCTAGCTTCCAGATGTTCCCCCTGCACCCCCGGACCTCGGCTCTGCACACCCGCTGTCAGAGGAGTCCTGACTCAGGACAAAGTCTATAGTCTGTGGTCTTGCTGGAAAATGCAGATCCGTCTGGCCTTGGAGAAATGGGGTGCACACTTGGGTTCTCAGTGTCCCCTTCCGTGAAGAGAGAGGATGGAAGGGGTCATGGAGCCCATGGCCTTTCTAGCGGCCTCCTCCTCCTGCTGCAGCTCCTTCTCCCTCTTTGTGATCCTCCGTGACTCTCTTTTCTACTTACCCATTCTTCCCTCTCAAGACTGCTTTCATCCCTCCTGCTCCCTTACTTGTTCTCCCTCCCCTCACCCCCTGTCTCTTCATTCTGTTCTTCTCAAGCCATTGTCCGAAGACACGGGGCGTCCAGAGAGCAGCTGTACCCCGACCATGACAAGGAGTGTCCGTGGCAATGCAAATGGACTGACAATCTAAGAAAAGGCTCTTGGGCCCAGCTTCTTCCCCCAGACCACCTGTTAGGGTTGAAGGGGTCTGAGGGTGGGCTTGCTCTGGCAGTGGGGAGCTGGCTGGCAGGTAATTCCCATTTGAGGGATAGGAGTGGGTCTGGAGGGAGCACACAGGAGTCTTGGATCCTCCCCATCCCCGATTAATCTAGAAGTCTGTGGGCAGGCCTCACTCTGGGTGGAAAGGGTTCTCAGTTCATGGCCTGGGAGCACAGGTATCCCCTAGGTGATGTCTGACCCAAAGGAGGTCCACTGGAGCAGGGAAGGAGCACTAGGGGCCTGGCATGTGGCTGGGAGAATTAGTTACTGTCTAAAGCCTTTATTTTTGTTCTCTTCATGGATGCTTGCTGGGGAAGCCTGAAGCCAGCTGGAATACCGGTTCCTTTGTTCGGTTCTCCTGTGTTCATCCAGCCAACACTGCATCAGAACCCACCTGGTGCCAAGAAGTCCTTCAGAGGAAACAAAAGAAGCTCAACCTAAAACCTCTATTTCTTCTACAAAGAAGACTCAGAGAATAGTGACCAATTCTTAGAAAAGGCCCACACTTCCTCTCATCCTGGTACTATTTCTGAATTCTAGGGGTAAAGAAAAATTCAGACAAAATACTGGCTACTTTCAAAGAAGAATGACACTGACTTCAGATACTTCGCACGCAAGGCCATGGGGAGATACTTCAAAATTCTGAGGTGATAAGATCATCCCAAAGTTTTTTCTCAGGCCAATTATCATTCTCTGATGAGGCCAAAATTAATCCATATTTGAACACTCAAAACCTCAAAGAATATGCTCCATACTACCTTCATGAAACCAGTTGTCTGAGTAAAAGCAAGAATTAACCCAAAGGAAACACCCAAGAAATGATGTAAGAAATGTCAGTATCAAAATATGTTAAAAAGATATAGTCAGTTTTCAATAATTGCTTAAAATGTACTTGTAAAATTTAATAACATTTCTTTAATATTTAAGAAAAAAAGAGTTTAATAGAAGAATCACATTCCATATTACCTCACTAAAACCTGGGTGGGGAAATGAAAAGTAAGAGAGAAATAGGCTTATTTCAAATCATCTCTTATTGATCAAGAACACAATGCAAAATGGAATCAGAAAAATCAGTTAAATCATGACATTTGGGGAAAACTTGATTACATAGAGGTGACAGAGCATGAACCTTTAGCTCCTATCTCCAAAACACCTGAAATGTTTAAAAATGTGTGTTACAAAAAAACACATGAATCCATTATCATGCTGGAAAATGCTGAAAAGATCCAACTGAGGAAGAGAAGTTTTAAAGTCTTTCAGGGACACTGGGGTGGCTCAGCGGTGGAGCATTGGCCTTCAGCTCAGGTCATGACCCCGGGGTCCCGGGATCGAGTCCCACGTTGGGCTCCCTGCATGGAGCTTGCTTCTCCCACTGCCTGTGTCTCTGCCTCTCTCTTTCTGTGTCTCTCAGGAACAAATAAATAAATAAAATCTTTATTTAAAAAAAAAAAGGACAGGTGAAATGGGTTCAACATGTTGAGCATAGGACACACTCAGGAGAAACACCAGGCACACCAAAGAGCATGTCTGCAAAATGTGGTGACATACACAAGAGTTGATGATACTCGATAGAGTCACTTTCTTTTCTCTCTTTTTTTTTTCAGTGACAACTCAATTTTATTTTATTTTTTTAAATTTATTTTTTATTGGTGTTCAATTTGCCAACATATAGAATAACACCCAGTGCTCTTTCTAACACAGGTTAGAGAGCCAGTGAGCTTCTAGCTGCAGGAGTGCTTGGGTGTAGGCTGGTGACCCAGGGCCTGCTCTCATAGGGGAGTCACACGTCCACCTAGGGAGGCACACAGGCACCACATAAGCCCATCTGATACGGGGGCAGCTAGAGCCCCCCAATTGTACATTCTTTGTTCTTTCAAGAACCTGGACAATTTGTGGCACCCCACACACAGAAATGTGGAGGTCAGTGGGGTGTATTCTGAGTACCAGCCTCCTAGTTCTGCGGAAAGTCAGGTGGATTTGACAAATTTATTTTAAATTTTACCTTAAAAAATAAAAGCATAAGATCCTACATATCTTGGCTAAATAGTAATGAAGAGAGTATTTGTCTCACCACATGGTACAGCATACTAGAAAGTTAGTGTTAAAACGTGTTCCATGAGACAAGTGGGTCCTGAGCCTTGGGCACCAAAGGCAGCACGAGTCAGTTGATAAATCCTTATGTCATGGGCTGTACTAAAGAGCTGTCTTGTTTATCCAGCAAGGGAAGGATTTTTTTTTAAGATTTTATTTATTTATTCATAAGAGACATAGAGAGAGAGGCAGAGACACAGGCAGAGGGAGAAGCAGGCTCCATGCAGGGCGCCCGATGTGGGACTCGATCCCGGGTCTCCAGGATCACGCCCTGGGCCGAAGGTGGTGCTAAACCGCTGAGCCATCCGGGCTGCCCAGCAAGGGAAGGATTTTGAATGGGACCATGACCTAGTTAAAAATGGCATTTAGGAAAATTTCCTAAACTCCAATGAGAGTTACAGGAGAGTGCATCAGAGTGGGGTGTCAGCAAGATGGCAGAGGGTGTTAGTGATCCGAACAAAGGCAGAGGCAGTGAGGATGGAGAGGAATGGAATAGCAGAGAGAGCATGGGGGTGACCAGTATTAACCAAATTAGGAGGCATGGTCAGGAGGAGACAGATGGTGCCATCCACAGAGACAGACAACACAAGTTTGCAATGGATGGCGCTGAGGTGCACAGTTCGGTCTGGGTCATATTGAGACTGAGGCCCCAGGTGGAGGTGTCGGGTGGTTCACAGCATGTGGGGTGTTGCCCCGAGGTGTTATGGACCTCACAGGACCTGTCACCCACGTGGTACCATAACCAGAAGTGTAGATGTCTACAAATCTGTCCCTCTTTCAAATTATATCTGTAAATTAAATTTAATAAGTATGATAACTGTATGTGTCTTAGAAAACCTTCAAGTCTCTTGAAGTTTGGTCATTTAGCTCTTTCATTCATCAAATAAATATTGATTGAACACTTACTATATGCCGGGCTTTTTTTCCCAGAGGCTGAGAATATAACAGTAGAGCAAATTAAGAGTAGGGAAGGAGGCTATAAACTCTTTGTCCAGGTAGAGTTTAGTGTAAATAAAAAGACTCATACACATGAACATATATATGAATTTTCCTTCCAATAGGTTGGAATGACCTAACCCAAACATTTGTGTCACAAATAACTGTACTAATTTGAGGAATTTTAGGATCATTTCCAAAATAAAAGCAAAAATAGGATAGAGAGAAAAACAACTGCATTATTCCACAAGAAATCACAGTTATATGGGTAAAACTAACCACACACCACTATGCTATTTGGAGGTTACTGACTCCACAAACCGCTGTAATGAAGTGAGCAAAACAGAAATAAATTCCTGAGAGCAACCCAACAACGGTGAACAAAACCATTAAGGAGATTCCTTCTAAATTGAAAGCATGAAGATAAATTCCACAGGAAAAAATATAGAACATTAATTTTTTTGCTACATAAAATGGTATAAATCTTTCCTCCTCGCTTGACAAAACTTCCTTAGTTCATAACCACAATTTTTCACTTAAAGAAAAAAAGAAAAAACCCTTACCATTTGCGGCCAGGTCTCTTTTAAGAAGAAATTTCCCCTCCTACACTTCTGTCTGTCCCTCAAACTCCCAGATCCCTTTTGTAAACCTTCTTGCCCAAACAGAAAGATTCCCTGGAAACCCATCACGAGTTGTGGCTTTAGACAAATTACCCTTCCTAGGAATGAAAATGGTTGAGGGGGTGGGGAGTGGGGGAGGGATCACCTAGAATCGATTTAAAATAGTAAACACATATTGGAACACATTTGTGTAAACGTAAGGAAGTGGTCAATCTGCTGCTCCTGGAAACTCTGTAATCCTCTGATGACCTTCCTGTTTTTCCTGCAGAGAAGTCCAATCTACAACTTTAATGATTTTGTAATAAAAAATGAGAACTTAACAAAACATTAACAGAACGTGTAAAATAGCATCAGGTCTTACTACCTGGTAGGCAACCACGGTTTTGTGTGACAAACTGTCATCTTTCCCCCTGAAGGTGCCATTCCACGCCAGCTGCAGGAGGAGGGTGGACAGGAGTGCAGGCGGCTCTAGACGGGTACCTAACCTAACGAGGTCTCTCCTGAGCCTTCTTCACCTGCAGGCTATCAGCGGATGCCTGATCTCGCAACTGTGCGCAGTCAGCTCCCTCTCATGGCTAACTCCTGGGAGGCCTGAAGATGATAGTGCTTTTCCTTCCTCACCTAATTCAAAAGCCCTGTGACATTTTCTCCCTGAGCCTCGTTCTTTCGCAAAGACATTTCCCTAGATTGC